TTTGCCTCAGACACGCCAGGTGCCTCATAATGCAGAGCATACCCCGGGGGCTCCCAGAAGGATTGGGACTGGGGTGGCGAAAACGTACAGTTGACGCTCTTGCTTTGGTTTACTCCATCCTGGCTCTCATTCCCGTACCTCCCCCGCCCCCACTCCTGTCTTAGTCACTGCTCCTCTCTTTCCTCCCAGTTTTTTAGCTGTGTTCCCCAAGGATCAGCCTTTATATGTCTTTTCTCCTCATTCTACATATTTCCTTGGGTTACTATTACCCGTGCTCATGACTCCAAATATATCCTCATCATTCCCAAATCAAAGTTCAGCCCAGATTCCTCTTCTAGGCTTCCTATCCACATATATCCAGCTACCTGCCAGACACGTGTCCCCGGGTGTCCCACAGGTATATCAAACGAAAGGACCAGAAGAAACTACTTTCTCAACCAGCTCCTGCAACTTGCTGGCACTTCTCCTCCCATATTCCCTACCGCGTTACAAAATCCAAATGCAGAGAAATAATCTTACTCCATCGCCATGCTTTCATAAACAATGAGCGCTAAGTGTCTTTGATTCTACTTCCTGGATCTTTCCAAATTCTACCCCCATCTTTACCCCCAACTCCCTTGCCTCAGTTCTTAGAAAAGTCTTCTAAACGGTTTTCCCACCTCAAATTTCATTCTTTTCCAACATTCTGATACGCATTTTTCCAAATAATTCCTCTCACTAGTTAATCTAGCCACATTCCTTGGGCTAACTGATATGAACTGGTACCTCTGAACTGACTGACTGTTCACAGATGGCGTATGTTCTGATGGGTCAGTGGTTAAGAGATATGGTTGTCAAACCTCCTGAACATCACCTTGATTATTACCCTCCTTCTTAAACCCTTTAACTTCCCAACAACTCAAAATAGTCTCTTTAGTGTAGCACACCATGGCTTCTTATTCTCAGGCCAGTGACCAAGCCAGAGTTAATACCACGTTGCCTAAGCTTCTCCAGGACCTCATAGCAAAGCTTCTTCACCTGGGGTCCACAGGTCCACACACGTTCATAGGTGGATGCAGTAGCAGTTGGAGGGAGAGGGTTATGTGAACTTGGATAGGAAAAAGAATGCATCCTTTTTTGCTAACCTCTAACCATGATTTCAGAAGGATTAGAAATATCTATTGTTTGTCATCTATAAAATTACTGAAATCTTCACATTACAGTACACTGGTTGTAGGTAAACTAAAAGTTTTTATGCACATCACTACAAATTTACAATAGTAATTCTGACTGATAGTATATCTCATTTATTTTGTTAGTAAAGATGCACATAATATACATCACAAATATGCTTTTAATGTATTTGGATAGTGATACTTCAATATAACTTTTTGTGGTAAAAAATATACTTCATGCACTTAAAAAAATATTATTCTGAGGAGTCCATCTATGACACAGTCAGAGAGATCCATGGCACAAAAAAGGCTTAGAATCTATACTCTCAGAGCTTTCCTGTCCATCTGTCTAGTGTACATTAACTGATTGTTCAAATATGACGCACTGCTAGGCCACACGGACACCTAGATGAGAAAAACCTTCAGAGAGGGTGGGGGTGGGAACTGATTATTTAAATGCCGTGTGAGAAATGCGATATCATAGCTCTGCACATGGAGCCAGGGGTGCTGACGGGAGGGACTTCTAACCAAAACCCGGGGCAGGGGAAGGCCTCTTAAAGAGGACAATGGGGACAAGTCCTAAAGGACAGGCAGAATGTAGTCAGGCGAGGGAAGAACACAACCTGTGATGCCACAGGCCCTGCTCTACTCTTTGGGAGACAACCGAGTCTGCTATCTTTGCTTCCGGAAAAGGAAACAATCGTAGGTAGTGCTGAAGCACAGCTGACTCTGGGTGGAAAGTCTCCAGACCTAGGAAAGAAGGAAGACAGTCAGCTCTGGAGACTTCTCAGAGTTAAAAAGGCCCATTAGCGTCAAGAAGATTAAAAAGATCTCCTCATAGGGAAATGCAGTGGTAAAAAGTTTGAATTTAGATACAAAGCCTGCTGATTATGACAGTGCTCTAGAGGAGGAGAAAGAGTCCAAAGGCCATCCACATGAGGCAGTAAAGTGACTGTTTTTAGACAAATTTTACTGTGGCTTCCTGCCTGGATGGCACAAAAATAGATTTTCCAGAACTGTTTTAAAAGTTGAATAACAGATAAAAATTGAATCATTTTTGCAACAAAATGTGTGGCTCAAAACATCCTCAAAATGGGCAGTCCTGAACAGGAAAGACGTTTCTGAATGCTTATGTTTGGGCTGAGATGGGACAGAGTATCTGTGACTACAATGACCTAAAACAGGGATATGAGGACTTCCCTGGTGGTTCAGTACTTAAGAATCCATCTTGTAATGCAGGGGATGCAGGTTCGATCCTTGGTCAGGTAACTAAGATCCCACGTGCTGTGGAGCAGCTAAAGCCCATATGCCATAACTAACACAGTCCACATGTTGCAATGAAAGATCCTGCCAAGTGTTGCAACTAAGATCTGATGCAGCCAAATAAATAAATAAACATTAAAAAAAAATAGGGATATGTCTAATCTTGGGAATTGATTTTCAAGTCTGACTAATTATCAGGATTGTTTGGAAGGCGTGGGGAAATGCCCACTATTTTGCTAGAACCATGTGCCCTTTCGTTTCTTTACTTTCTCAAGCAGACTGGGACATATGTTGACTCAACTTGTAACCGATATTAAATTACAGCATGTTTCCTTTTTTTTTTTCATTACAGAAACAAAAAAATGGCAATAAACTTCCTGTCTTTTTATACCTCATTTCACTTAGCAATTGGAACTGTATTATTCTGGGGGAGAATTCAAATGTGGTTGGTAGAGAGGGTAGTCAGTTAACTGCAGGTAGTTTTGCATCATTAAACTAAACATGCCTTGCTTTCCCAAGTTTCATGAATACATTCAATGCTATCTTAAAAACAAAATAAAACCATTCCTTCTAGCTGGAAAGGTTTAGCCCTGTGACTGTGTGTTAACATTAACCTTGAAATGCCTGCCATCTACCATTATACCTCCATATTTCTCCCACAAAAGTTTCTGCAAAGTACAGTCCTGACACCATTACCATGAGCGGCCCTCTATCTGGGAATGATTACACTTGCATATGGATTTAACTTAGGACGGGAATAAGTTAGCACCTTCCTTTGACCTCTTTCTGAGCACAACATACAAACAGAATCCAGGAATGATGAGTACTTCGCAGCAGCTGGCTTCCACAGGTGGTAAGACAGAATATGACACATGACGGGTCGAGTCATTCAGCAAGTGTCAATTTCGGAAATGAGCATCTGCCAGTCTTCTTCTTAACTGGGAATTGAGTTGTTTTCATGAACTTCTAGCCTTGTGAACTTAAATGAGGCTTTGAAACAAATTCACTTATAATTTAAATAAAAAATAAAATACTGTTTTTCTTGCATTTTCACAGACATCAGGGACTGGAAACAGTTGCAAGCCCTGGAAAGAGGGTCCCTATGAGGCCCCAACCTCCCCCATTCAGCTAGTGAGGGTATCCTCTGTCTTCAAAATTTCACTCTTCAGCCAACTGCTATTTTAGAAATATGATGACCACTGTGGTCATAAGACAAACAGACTGGCACTTTCAAAAGTCCTCTCTGGGTGAAGCTACGATAGATCAATATTCTAAAAATATTTTTTTAAGAACATATACATTTCTTGCTTTAAGATAACTTTATTGGGAGGTTATAGAAATATGAATTAACTGTAGGCAAGTTTAAGTCAAATGTCTCAAAGTTTATGGAGAGATTCTAAACATAGCAGGGTATCTAAGATTTTACTTGCAGATTGTAGGTTCCTGAGCCCCACTCAGTGGGGCTCATTTCATTGCATCCAGCAGATGTCACAGTTCAGCACTGACTACAAAGTTCTATATTAGCACAGTCCAACAGAAATACAAAGGCACGCAGGTAATTACCAAAAAAACTCTGGTTAACTATATTTTACAAAAAATGCTTAGTGTATTTTCTAATAACAACATTTTTTAAAGTGTCATATAAAGGAACGGATGAAATTACTTTTAATAGTATATTGGATTAGCCAAAACGTTCATTCGGCTTTTTCTGTGACATCACACAGAAAAATCTGAACAAAATTTTTGGCCAATCCAATATATTATTTAACCCAGTGTATCTAAAATATTACCATTTTCAACATGTAATTAATATATAAACATTAATGAAATATTTTACTTTTTTTTTTGGTACTAAGTTTCTGAAATCCAGTGTGTTATTTTATACTTATGGCACAGCTCAATTCAGAGGAGCCATGAATAAACCCCATGTGGCTAGTGGCTATCATGTTAGATGGCACAACTCTATCCTATTCAGAATGGACAGACAGGCAAACAATGACAGGGGAGTACCAGGTCCATCTAAATTCTAGGATGCTTCGACACATCCTAAACCATGGCCCCTCACAGTTTCAGAAAGTGGTACTTCCAAATATGCTTGTATTAAGGTTTTATCACTTACAGCAGCAACTTAAAAGGGCAAACTATTTCAATCGATCCCTTTCCGCACCTGCTTGTATAGAAAACTCGTCTTGATGTCAGAACTGGGCATTCCTACACTAGTGCATTGGAGAAGAAGAAAGACGGGCTCACTGAGTCATCAGATCACAGGAATGTCAGTTCTTTTCCAATGTTTCACTTATATTTTAAAATAAATTTTTTCCCCATAAATATTATTGTGAGTATTTTCAGTACAAAGCTCTAGAGAGAAGTATTAATTCTAAAAATAAACCCAACAAAAACAGGTGGTAAAACATATTTAATCAACTATGCAGTCAGCTTTACTTACTTTCTATGCAACTTTCAAGGACTACATTAACGTTAACTAGAACATGATCTGAAATTTACAAACCCTTGAGGTCTTACAAATTCTAACCAACTCTAGCCTTTCATCCTCAGTAAGTACTACAGCACTAAAGTGATTACCTTAGGTAAATGTTCTTTGATGGTTTCGTTGTCTCTCTTTACTACCTCCCTCATTTCTTGGCTCCCAAGGTAGGCAGCGTTAACTACATTAAAAAAAAAAAAAAAGACAAACATTTAGAATATATAGAACAAACACAAATGTCAAATTAATTGTAGTCAATTCCTGTGTCACCCTTTTCTTTTGGCAAGTGCTATGTGATGTGAAATGTCAGGGAGGCCAAGAGAGGCGTGTGAGTCAGTGACATGCACTGACTCTGGAAACAAGGGCATGCCCTGTGGAAGGCTCTCTCTTACCTTCACCTGGCTTTCTCAGCAGCAACGTTTAGCTGTATGATGGTCTAATGTCACATATCCCAGCAGATGTGTGTCACTGTACCCGATCAAGGTATTTTTATGATTTAAGGATTAGAATCACACATTTTAACAGATAAATCATGCACATCAGGGAAACCACACACAGTTGCAAACATTAAAACATCTTGGTAACTTTTTTTTAGAATGGCCACAACTATAAAGAATGTTTGTTTTAAAATAGGTTTAAATGATCTTTAAGAGTCAGTTGTTAATGACGGTCAGTCCTATTATACCTATTATATGCAAAATAGGTACAGTGACCCCCATTTTCAAGATGACAAATATCTGGAAAGAAGGAAGAAAGCCAGTGATAATCCAAATTTGTGGGCTTCCCTGGAAGCTCAGTGGTAAAGACTTTCTGGTACTGCTACACAAATTTTCATTTGATTCTCCATGCCTTGAATTCCACTTTGGTTGGTGTTATTACTGCTAGTTTGCTTTCTTTTTGGCATCATCCTCCTATTTGTCTTTTATCTTTAATCTTTTGTCATTTTAAGTATGTCTCTTGAAATCATAAGTGGATCGAAACACAGTTTAAAGTCTCTCTCTCTTAAATAAAGGACTTAACATACTTGTGTATATTGATATAAAAGATAGCTGGTCTGACTCCAGTCAGGAGGCAGAATAAAGTAATAATAAGGTTCACAGCAGAAATTTATCAAATTGATACTAGAAAAACAAATGAGAAACTAAATGAAACTAAAAACAGGTTCAATAAAACTGATAAATCTCTACAGCCAGAATGTTCAGGAAAAAAATGTGAGAATACATAAAACATTACCAATATCAGGAATGAGAAATGACAACTCTTCAGATACTACAGACATCAAAAGGATCAGTTCAGTTCAGTTGCTCAGTCATGTCCAACTCTTTGCGACCCCATGGACCACAGCACGCCAGGCCTCCCTATCCATCACCAACTCCCCGAGTTTACTCAAACTCACGTCCATTGAGTCGGTGATGCCATCTAACCATCTCATCCTCTGTCATCCCCTTCTTCTCCTGCCCTCAATCTTTCCCAGCATCAGGGTCTTTTCAATGGGTCAGCTCTTTGCAGCAGGTGGCTGAAGTATTGGAGTTGCAGCTTCAACATCAGTCCTTCCAATGAACACTCAGGACTGATCTCCTTTAGGATGGACTGGTTGGATCTCCTTGCAGTCCAAGGGACTCTCAAGAGTCTTCTCCAACACCACAGTTCAAAGCATCAATTCTGCACTCAGCTATCTTTATAGTCCAACTCTCACATCCATACATGACTACTGGAAAAACCATAGTCTTGACTAGACGGACCTTTGTTGGCAAAGTAATAATAATCAGGTAATTTTGTGGACTTTGCCATGCAATTTAAAAACTCAGATGAAACAGTCCGTACACAGACACAAATTTGAAGCTCACTTGACAACAGATAGGGGCTTCCCTGATGGCTCAGCAGTTAAGAATCTGCCTGCAATGCAGGAGACGTGGGCTTGATCCCTGGGTTGGCAAGATCCCTTGGAGGAGGAAATGGCAACCCACTCCAGTATTCTTGCCTGGAAAAAAATCCCATGGACAGAGGAGCCTGGCTGGCTACAGTCCATGGGGTTGCAAAGAGTCAGACACTACTGAGTGACTAAGCATGCATGACAATAGGTAACTTCAATAGTTCTTAAATTTGTAACTTAAAAGCCTCTCCACAAAGAAAACTCCAGGGCAAGATAAGTTCACTGGTCCATTCTACAAAACACTCAAAGAAGAAATAATATTGATTTTAAATAAATTCTTCCAGATATGACTACACATATATGGTTATTTAATTCTCGACAAAGGTGACATTTCAGAACAGCACGAAACAGGTGGTCTCTGGTAGGCAGAAATCTTAGACAACACAAACGATCCTTGCCCTTTTATAATCAATCCCCTCTGAGTGTGGGTGAAACCTGTGAGTAAGATGACATATTGCTCCCACGACTAGGTTATGTTATAAAGTGGAGACTTTAAGGGAGAGTATCTCAGTGGGCCTGATCTAATCATATGAGTCCTTCAAAATCTGAGTTCTCTCTGGCTAGTGGCAGAAGAGAAAGTCATAGATTCAAAGTCCTAAGAGGATGAAATGCACCGCTGATGGTTTGAAGACGGAGCACATGTGAGAAGGATATGAAACTAACCTCGAGGAGATGAGAGGACCCTTGCTGACAACCAGCAAGAAGATGGGGACTACAATCAAAAAGCCAAGTGAACTAGATCCTGCTGACAACCTGAATGAGCTCAGGAGTGGACTTGGGATATGCAGGGGGCATAAAAGAGGCTTGTGACATCCAGGCAATGGTGATTCTTGAGGTAGGTAGAAGTTACATAGGAGTTTGTTTTCTGATCATTTGTGGAGGTAAACATTTTTATGTTTCAGGCACTTTTCTGCAGTGTTATTCTTGAATTAGTAAAATGTATAAAAATTCAAAAAATGTGTAAGGAATATTATATTTCTAAAAAGCAAAATTTTCATCAGGGGATGTACTTCACCTTTATTCTCATTTTTTTTTTGTTTTTCCTGGTAATTTCCCATCTAAGTACACTTTTTTGTTGTTTGCTTTTAGAAAGCAGAATACAAGTTTCCTTTCCAGTAACTGCTCCAAGGAAGCCATCCTTTTCTTCCCTCAGAAATGCTCGTAACACAACACAGTGGTCAAAAACAATAATACCAGATAGAAGTGTAATTTCCTAAGGGGAAAACACATTTCTCCTGGCAATGACTGTCGACAGCATTCCTGGAAACCCAGCAGAAATCAGAGTTTCAAGCACCACAGTGGAGGAAATATCTAGCAGTAGGAGTAATGGAAACAAAACATGAAGGGAGGAGAATGATTTAGAAGAATGGTACTTATTTACTTTCATTTCATAACAAATCTAAATACAGGTGTAAAAACCCTCACTGAGTCTAATGTTCTATTTTATTTGCTACCATCATCTTCTGAAATCTGCTTAGTGTTTAAATATCACTACAGGACTTCAACTCACAGTGGAGTGGTGAAGGAACAAAACAAAGGCAGGCTAAAACCGGAAGACCAATAGGACATTCATGTCACAGGCTAAATGCTATCACTAAATTCTCCAAGTAAACATAATCTGCAGCAGAAGGCTGCCTTCTGTTTAATTAACCTAATCACCTACCTTAATGCCATTTTGTCCATCTTGAAAATTCCCAAGTCATCTTCAAGTCCAAATTCATCTGTCTTCTCCCTTATTTACCTAGGTAGAACTAGTTTCTCCCTTTCTCAGTACCATTTCTGCCCTGTATCTGTGTTCATACCAGTCCTAACTGTGATGTATTAAAATTCCTCACATTGATTTCCTCTAACATGCTATATAAATATAAATATAAATGTAAATATAAATATAAATATAATGTTAGGGTAATTATATATATATATAAATCTATCTCAACAGTTATATTTCATTTTTTCTCTCCAGTGATTATCCAGGTCCTTGGTTCATGGCAAGTGTCAGTAGGGTTGTTAAATAAAATAAATGGGTAGGGATTGGGCTGGTGGTTTTCTTTTTAGGGGAAGGTTTGGGGGTAGGGTCAGGAGGAAAAACCTGCTGCCTTCCTTGAGGTAGAGCAAGAGCTGATGTCACAAGAGAGTCTAGATGCTGACATGGGGAAGCCAAGTTGACAGGTATTGGTTGATATGATTTATAAACAGATAGACTTATCAATGTGACAGAGTTCATCAAAGTAAACACACAACTCAAGGCGTATGATTTTTAAAAAATAATACAACTTTTTAGAGGGGTAGATAATTTAAATATATATATATGTCTGTATATATATATATATATATATGTATATATATATATATACACACATACACATAAACATCTATTGAAAAAAATATTAAAAACCTTCACTGAGTCATTTAACTCTAAACCAGAGGTGATATTCTAGTACCATATCTAATCACCTTTTGCCTAAATCCTAATACTGACCACATACACACAAAGTTTTTTTCCTTCACTGCTGAATTTAAGGCTAAACTTCCATGAATAATTAAAGCTTAAGTTGGCTTTTAATGGATTTTCCTAAGTTACACACAAAAATGAGAGACTAGGTAACATGCGAGTCTGGTTTTGTCTTATTCAAAATATTATTCTGTGATTAAGTCAAAAATATTCTGAGAAGAAATTTGTGATTCTTGAGTGAAGCTTATGTGTCAGCAGTTCATTGAATAGTTTTCAATTCATGTAACTGTACATGCTTTTAAAAGTTATTTACATATTGATTAAGGAAAGGAAAGATTACAAAGTCTCTTTTACAAGAATGCATGCAACAAAAGTAATGTAATCTACCAGGAATGCCCTTTGTCTGCACTATGTTTTTCTAATTAGATAAGTGAAAGGAATTAAGACATCAATTTGGTCTAACTAACAATAAGACTCTAGAATATTTTTTAACGTTAATTATCTTGACCTGTGATACTGCTAAGCTAAAATATATTTGCTTTTAGCTTTGATCAGAAAATCCAATTTAGCTGTCTCAGTGAGAAGTCTATTTCTCATGAAACAGAAGAACATCTATCATAAAGAAAATACATAGTAGCAACTATTACAGAATTAAAATTAAAGGAAAAAAACCCATACATTTTCTTTAAAAGTAATATGCAAAACAATCGAGTTACATAAATTGAACCGATGAACACATGGTGAAGTTTATGAAGTACACTAACTGAATTAGGGCCACTCTATCTTGAATGCTGGATAGGAAAGGAGGTTTTACTCAATCTGGTAAAGAGGGCTAATACACAGATTCTCAGCCTATAAGAACCACCATTTTTGCCAAAAGGACAACAGCATTTGAAATATTTGAACAGTTTGGTTCCTTGAACTTTTCAGACCTTGCTACCACAAAAAAAATATGTGTATAAACTAAAGGATACAGAAAATCTGTTTCTATCCAGATAGGTCAGGATTTATTATCCACCACTTGGACTGGCAAATTTCCTCCGTTTGTTTCTGTAAGATTTCTACTGAAGCACAGACATTACATAATGTGCAAACACCGCAAGTCCTCCTTTTAGGAGGTAAACTGGTCAGACTGGTATACTGGAGGTCATTGTCTGGGTGATAGTCAAACTACAGAGAAGTAGGTCTGGAGGGTATAGATTTGACCACTGTGAATAATCTCAGATCTGGTATTCCTTTCCCCCATGAGCCCTCTCTTTGTGTAAAATGAAAATCATGTCATCAACTCAAGTGGTTGGTTGAAATATTGATTAATCTTCACCATTCATTGGATAAAAGCTCAGGAGGAATACACTAATCATTTTCAAGGGTCAGGGATTTATGGGTATCATCCTCTCTCAGCTGGGACCTTCTTCCATTTGTCCTAAGCAAGGTAACAGGAATCACTAGTGGGATGGCCAGGGCAAGACTGGGTAAAGGTAGGTTCTGTGGTAGCTATTACGAGAAGAGGCAAGGGTGAATTGGTATCCAAAGGGGAGAGGTAAAAAGATGCTGGCTAGGATGATGGAGATGCTTGGTTAAGGATTAGCCTACTGTCATGAGTAGAAGATTGAACTAAGCATCTTTGTAGAGAATAAACCAAGAACACAAAGCAGAAAGAACACAGGTAATTCTTGCCTTCTTTCTCTTTACCCAAAATTATTATAGATGGGGTGAGTAATGAGGGAAAAAAAGAGACTACTAAAGTACTGGTTACTTGGATGTTAGAAAGCCAGGTCTATCAATAGAAGGAAGAGGACAGAAAATCAGAGAAGGAAGGGATGTCAGAAATACAAGGGCTGTGCTCCAAAAGTTGGTTTGCAAGTTGGTTGTTTGGAACAGAGATGAAGCAATGTGGCTGAGTGTTTAGTCTGGTTTACTGTCTATTTTGCACATCGTGTAACTGTACTATGGGAAAGAAATTCCACAATTCCCCCAAGCAACAGTGTAGATGGAAGCCTCTGGTTGCCTTGAGTCATGGAGGGGAACATGTCCTATGCCCAAACTGTCTTGCTCCTTGATGCCTGCATTCAGGGCTCCCGAAGATTCAGGAGGAGTCAATCACTGCAGCTGAAAGGAAGATTCTTTTCTCTTGAGCACAACTTATGGAGCCTACTTCTTCAAGAGGGTATTTATAATTGTGGTGTAGAAAAACTGAAAAAAAATCTTTACATAGGTATCTGTTTTAATAGAAAAATATTAAACACATCACATGTCTTATGTAATGTGTTATATAATCACTATATATAAGAAAACAAGGAAAACTTCCTTAACATCCCATGTCTTGATTTGGGTTTAGAGAATACCGCTAAAGAGGCAGAAGGGAAGCACAGGGCTATCTAATGTCTATCAGAAACCCAGATGTTTGGGGTGAAGCGGTCTATGTGCGTGTGTGCTGAGTGGCTCAGTTGTGTCAGTCGTGTCCACCTCGTTGTGACCTCACGGACTGTGGCCCGCCAGACTCCCCTGCCCCTGGGATTTTCCAGGCAAGAATACTGGAGTGAGTTGCCATTTTCTATAAATTAAATACTGTTGGTTGATACTGTTGCTGAATTCATCTATATCCTTGCTAACTTTTTGTCCTATCATTCTACTGATTGTTGAGAGGGGTATTTACATATCCAGCTATAATTGTGGATCTGTCCATTACTCCTTTCAGTTGTATCAGTTTTTGCTTCAGGTATCTTGCAGCACACTTGTTTTGTACATACACATATTAGAATTACTATGACTCCTTAGTAGACTAACTCTTTTACTATTATCATTATGTAATGTCCCTCTCCATTCCTGGTAATTTTCTTTGCTCTGAAGACCACTTTATCTGATATTAATATAATCATTCCTGGTTCATTTGATTAATGTTTGCATGATGCATCTTTTCCCATTCTTTTACTTTCAACCTACCTATATGATTATGCTTTAACTATATTTTCTGAAGATAGCATATACTCAGGTTATGTTTTTAAATTCATGTTGCCAATTTTTATCTTTTAATTGGTGCATTTTGACCATTTACTTTAATGTAACTATTGGTAATGTTAGAGCTTGTTTGCCATTTTATTATTTATTTTCTGATAGCTATCTGTTTTCTCTTTCTCTATGTTCTTTCTCTGCCCTGTCTATGTGTTACTGAATGTTTTAGAATTCTATGTTGATTTACTTATAGTGTTTTTGTTTTTTTTTTTAAATATGTCTCCTTATGTAGATTTTAAAGTGGTAATTCTAGGTATTCCACTGAGGGTGTCTGACTTACCGTCATTGCCATTTTCACTTACTAGGCTATTTCTTTCTCTTCTATGAGGGAAAAATAAGGGGCTGGGCCAGCAGGTCCTCAAGGGACATCTCCAACTTCAATCTTTGGTGATTTTTATGACTGTTCCAAGCCTGGCTTCCATTCTCCCTATCTTATCTGCCTCTGCCTTGCTAAGCCTATAATAAACAATAGGTATTGGTAGAACATGGCTGGGGGGGCAAATCCATAAATACAGAAAATAGACTGAACTTTGTATTTGTGACGACTGCTTCTTGCTATTTAGGAAAACACGTCCTGCATCATCTGTGGGTGTATAACTATAAAGGCAGGGGTGTGACCTGTTTCTGAATTCACCATGCACATGAAATTGTGGGAATCAATGCAGGTGAGCACCATAAACTTTAGACAGTAGTCCTGCTTTTATGCTTGACTGGAGCAAAGAGACTGCGGCAGCAGCTACAGTGAAAGGAAGCTTAACACAGTGGCATATTGCTGGAATTTGAACACTACCCACTAGTTGTGTGACTTCAGGCAAACCATGTAACTTCTCTGAACCTCAGTATCTTCATCTGTAAAATGGGGACAGGAATACCTGAACTTCATTAGTTCTTCTGAGGACTGTAGGTAAAAGCTTAGAACAGTCCTATTAGCTGCTGCTGCAATTGCTGCTGTATCATTCATTGGAGGCTTATTATCAATAAAATATCAGATAGGCACTTTGCATACATTATCACATTTAATCCTGTAATAATCTTTTGAGGTACAGGATATTATTATCTCCATTTTGTAGCCTATGGAGGTAGCATAATTTTATTATTAAAATCATTTGTAAATATAGTATAAATTAGTACTAACTAAAAAGATAAATTACATTTAAAAAATAACATTTGAAGCTAAACAGTAAAGTACCAAAAACATTCCCTGGCATATTCAGAAACTATAATCAGTAAAGCCTCCAATGTTATATTATCATGACTACTATTTATTACTTTTATAACTTAAATCTCTCCAAAAACTTCTAAAGAGCAAAGCAAAATCATAGTCTATTCACTCTATGGGGATATTAGGCCTCGTTTCCTTGTGCTGATTTTTGTAGTTTATACACTGAGCTTAACAGGCAACACCATGGATTCCTGTAAGGACTCCATATATAGTAGATAGAGAAGAATTCTTTCTCGTTGTCTTGAAGCTACAGTAGAGAATCAGAAGGATAAGGTTTAAAATTAAAGCCTGATGAGGCTTCTCTGTCATTTAGAATATCCCTCACTATTTTCATTTTGTTTCTAGTTTTAAACTTTGGGGAGAAAAATATAACAAATAATATCTTGTTTGAGACTCACCTACTGTCTGAGGTTATTCTCTTAACACTTTCTGATATAAGAATAAACATATACATTTTAAAATGTGCTTACCAAGGCAGAACGGTTCCAACGTATTCAGACAAGAAAATTCCCTTGGTATGTCCATCATTTGAAGGGCCATTCTGATCACCAAGGACTTGATTTTCTCAGGCCATGGTTTAAGCAGTAAGTAGCAAGGAACATAGAGAGCATAGCGAAGCCAGCACAAAAGAGGTGTGGCAAACCTGCCTTTGGGTGACTCAGACATTCGCTCAATTGTTGGAAAGAGCAGAATGGAGCGAATTACCTATAATAAAAAAAAAAAATATTTTGATGAGAAGTTTTCCTAAGGGATAAGTTACTGCTTTCTCATTTCTTCTATATAATATCCACAAATGACTAGGTTTTAGAACATGGCTAACAATCTATTCAGACTGAGAAGTACCATCCACTGCCTTCTCAGCCCTCAACCAATCTGGGTAAGATATAAAGATGTCCCTCAAGCTGAAGGGGTTAATTTTCAGGATGAGGAGGAAGTCAGATACCTAGATAAATTCTTGAGTATGACAGCAACTCCCACTCCCTTTGAAGGATTGCTGAAAGTAGAAATGAATTTACCATTTTAGTGGTTTACCAATTTGACTAATGATGCCCAAAGAGATTAAAACTACAAAAAATACTCTATTCTAGTCAGAATTTCTTTTATTCATATTTGGAGATAGTTCACTTTTGAAAAGCTCATCTATTCTGTAATCTTACCAGCCAAAGATAATCTTCAACAGGAGCATATGTATACATGCTGCTGCTGCTTAGTCACTTCAGTCATGTCCGACTCCGCACAGCCCACGGACTGTAGTCTGTCAGGCTCGTGTGTGTGTGTGTGTGTGTGTGTGTGTGTGTTTATATAGGCTGTGCAGAGTCTTCTTGTTGCGTGGTTTTCTCTAGTTGTGGCAAGTGCGGGCTACTCTCTAGTTGTGATGTGCAGGCTTCTCATTGTGGTGGCTTCTCTTGTTGTGGAGCACGGGCTCTAGGGCACAAGGGCTTCAGTAGCTGTGGTTCCCCAAGCTCTAGAGCACTGGCTCAATAGCTGCGGCACAAGAACTCAGATGATCCACAGCATGTGGGATCTTCCCAGATCAGGGACTGAACCTGTGTCTCCTGCGTTGGCAGGTTGATTCTTTACCACTGAGTCACCAGGGAAGCTCAGGATAAAATATATTTTTAACAACTGATTCAACCTCAATAAAGCATGCATGCTCAGTTGCTCCGTCATGTTCAACTCTTTCTGACCCCACAGACTGTAGCCTGCCACACTCCTCTGTCCATGGAATTTTCCAGGCAAGAATACTAGAGCAGGTTGCCATTTCCTTCTCGAGGTAATCTTCCTGATCCAGGGATTGAACCTGTTTGTCTCCTGCACTGGCAGGCAGATTCTTTACCAGTGAGCCCCTTTTAAATCCATGGATAAGATTAGTGTCCTTAGAAGGACATACACCAGAGCTTGCACTCTTCCCAAAAGCATATGGAAAAGAGGTCTGGAGAACACACAGAGAGAAGATGGCCATCTGTAGGCCAGGGAAGAAGTATCACCAGAAACTGACCATGTTGGCATGCTGATATTGGGCTTCCAAACTAGAACTGAGAAAATAAATGTCAGTTGTTTAGACCACCCAGTCTATGACATTTTGTTAGGCAGTTCGAGCAGACTAACACCTATCCCTTAATACCATAGTTAATTTCTGTCTGTTAGTGAACTTGAAACAAATGTAATCATGCAGTGTGTTTTTATTTTACTTCCTTCAATCAACATTGTTTATAAGATCCATCTTTGTTGATGCATATAGAAATAGCTCATTACCTTTGCTACCTAGTTTTCCATTGTAAGAACACAACACAACTGATTTTACAGATAGATATCTGGGTTGTTACTAAAAAATATGCTGATATTTTTACACATGTCTCTTGGGCATGTATTTCTGTTGACTATGTCATCTCAAAGTAGAAATATGAGGACATATGGTTGCACATGTTAGTTGCAGGGTTAGTAGGGAGTTCCAAATAGTTTTCCAAAGTACTTGTACCAGTGCACTCCCCTACCATCAGACATGGGCTTCCCTGGTGGCTCAGATGATAAAGAATCTGCCTGCAATGCAGGAGACCTGAGATTGATTCCTGGTTGGTAAGATCCCCTGGAGAGGGGAATGGCAAACCACTCCAGTGTTCTTGCCTGAAGAGTTCCATGGATAGAGGAGCCTGTGAGGGTACAGTCCATAGGGTAGCAAAGAGTCACACATGACTGAGGGACTAAGTATACACACATACCATCAGACATTAGGGTTCATAGTGTTATATATCCGAATATTTGGTTCTGGTAAACCTTGTAATTATAATTGTAATTGACCAACCTGGTATTTGGAGGTGTTTCGTTATGGCTCTGATTTAAGGTTTTTATGTCTTTTTAAGTTTTGGGAACATTTTCTATATATCCTCTGAAAATGTCTTATTTAAATCTCACATTGTTCTATTAGAATGTCTTTTTAAATTATTGATTTGTAGAAGGTATTTTTAATTTAGATACCAGTCTTTTGTCCTGTTGTAGTTCTTGACTTGCCTGTTCATTCCTTTTCTTATTTTTTTTTTTAATGGAGGTAAACTCTTACGTTTGATACAATTGAATTTAACAGTCTTTTCTTTTACAGTTACGGTTCTCTGTCCTTGGTTTAAGAAATTCGTCTACAACCTCAAATCATGAAAATATTATTTTTTTCATTCAAAAAATATTTTAGAAATTAGATTTTTCAGAAATTAGATAATGCTGCTTCTTATCTGTTCTACAATGTGGATTTAAGCCTTGGGCTGGGTTTAACTTTAGTTGTGAGTCTATTCCTTTGATGTTGGGCATCAGTGATTTACTATTTTTTAAGTATTTACATTCCTCCTTCTGGATGAACTGGATGTATTTCTCCTGGTAGGACCTGATAGTAAAGGTGGGGTTTTGTGGACTCAGTCTCTTTTTCGCCTTCTAACATCGACAGTCTTTTTTCATAATAATCTATTTGATGGCACTGACCAAACCTTACATTGATTAGGTAACACCTGTCACTCTGCCTTCATGTCCCTCTCACTGATAGAACAGGGATTTGAGGGTAAAAACTGTGGAGGACCCTTCTTTCTAATCATATCTTCTTATTTTTCCTTGGTCATATCTAGCAGTTAAGGGCTTAGCTATTTCCACAGGCTTTTCCTTTTCTCTCAACAATATCTGAGATCTTTTCGTTGTTTCTTTTCCAGTCACAATAATCTGATCTCTTCTAGATGTCCTTCTCTGTCACCTAAGTAAGAATATACTGTTCCCTGAGGCCTGCGTGATGACTAAATAAAAGATGTTCTTTGGGAGCTGAGAACCATAGCCTTTTCAGATGATTTTTAAAATGCTGGATTGGTAACAACACGTTGCAAAATGCTCATGATGTGCTTTCTGAATGAACACTGAGTTTCTGTGACCTTGGCATCTTCTCAAGTACAAATCAGAGGAGAAGCTGGATAGACTGTACTGAATCAAGGCCTTATGGAGCATTCATGGATGCTTGTGATGCAGATCATTGTGGGTTCCAGAACATCAGGGATGATCCAGAGTCCTACAGTCAGAGCCAGCTGACTGTGTTTCAGTGGGTTTACACAAAGGTTATATAGAGAGTCACACAAAGGTTACGGGGTCTCTGTGAAGTCTGACTGGATAAGAAAAGTCAGTTAAAGGAATTATTCTCCCTGGATGCCACTTCCAAAGTGAACTCCAACTCAATGCATTTGAACACAGAGGAGGAATGAGATCAACTTTGGAATCCCAGGGCTTTACAGGTGTTTGGTCACCTTCTTCGTCCCCTTCTAGCATCACATAGGGATACAGCATTACTGACCCACCCATGATGATGACTGCATTGAGGACACAGGGTAAGCAGAGTACAGAGCACAAGCATCCCAATGATAGTTATCATCAGTCTCAGGAAGTATCAGTAAGGAACCGAACAGCTTCTGACATCTCTAGGGCTCCTGAACAGGTCTCCCTATTCTCATTGTCCACATATAGTAGGCAAGCTACTGCTTCACCTTCACCTTTCTGTCCAGAGATATTCTTCAGGACTGCTCCCAATGGTTCAAACAGGGCTGCTGTCTCTCTTAGACATGTGGAATATATCCTTCAGAGTGGCAAAAATTAAGAAATCTAACAATATACCAAGTACTACCGATGTGGATCAACAAGAACACTTATTATGGCATAATTGCTAGCCTATCCTCTTCAGTTTTTGTAAGTACAATCACTTTGGTGGGTGTCTGGAGCTCCACACAGAAAATAAATTTCGTCATGTTGTCTAATGGTAACAGTTTGATTCAGGGCTCTAGCATTTCACTTGGATACCAAACAGCATGCTTTTTTAAGAGTCTGAGAGGGAGAAACAAAAAAAATCTTTTAGCAACTGGAGAGGTGCTACCGTTAACCACTGACTTTATACCTTCAAATTCAGATTTCTTCCCCTGTCTTTTGGGTAATTTTAGTGTCATGAGTCCTTTAATTCCTATAAGAGCTACAAATGTTCTGCTGCTCTTAGGACTTGAGAGATTGCACACAGGGGTGGGTTTATATGGAGCAATCTTTGGTACTGCCCTGCAGGGTCCTCCCAGCTGAAGGGCTAAGAAGGGCCTTCTTCCCCATTGCGCAGAACAGTTCTCCCTGGAGGCTGGAGAGCAGGTTTCTTTAGCAGCTGCAGTGGCAGCAAAGATAACTTCTGAGCTTCAGCTGGGCTCTCTTTTGTTAGTCCCACCTGGAGCTATAGGAACCTGATCTGGTAAGGAAGCCAGGTTGGCCACAGTACAGTCACTGCAGGCTCCTTGGCAGCCAATATTCTTCAGTAATATCTCCATGAGTTTGATGGCCTAGTCTTTCACTTTTTCAGTCCATACTCTACCTGAAACTGATTTTTACGTGTGGTGTGAAATATGGGTCTAACAACTTTTTTCCATATGGTCACTCAACTGTCCCAGCACTATTACCTGCAGAGGCAGTCCCCCCCTGCTTTTCTGCTGTGACACTGCTGTAGCAAATCCTCTATGTGAAAGGTCCTTTCCTGGGCTCTCTAAGCTGTTCTACTGACCTACTTTTCTAACTCTGTGCCCAGAGCGCAATGTCTTATTTACTAAAGCTTTAGATTTTGGTATTTGGTAGAGTAAGTTAAACCCCATTTTCCTGTTCTTCAAAAATGCCTTGAGTATATTTGGCTCTCTGCATTGGATATAGATATGAGTTTCATT